GCTGTAGATTTGCAGGCTAAAATTTCCTCTGATGTCCTAGTTTTTTTGTCTCCTCTATTTTGGTTAGGTTTTTCTAGAGACTGCTTCTTAAACAGCATGTGAACATTGCAAGTCTTTCAGCTAAAAAATCCCTTGTACAGGAGCCTGATTGATGTGGTAGCAATCATTCCATAATTTTGTAATGACATCTGTCTTAAAGTGAGCCTGTGCCCATAAACTGTTATCTTCACAGGGTTTCCTCAGATTTACTTCCGTTTAAGGAAAAGTAGAGGAGTCTGGAGTCTGCTGGTAGGTTAGGCTTCGATAAACCAGTTTTCCTTGAAGGAAGATTTTCAAGAAGAAGAACAGAGTGTTCTGGACTGATTTTTAAAACAATTATTTTTCCCTTTCCATCTGCCAGAAACATAAGGGTACATTAATGTGATCTTCTTCCTGAGAACTGGTAGTTCTCCTGTAGGTAAAACTCATGAAAATGTGAAGTCCTACAAGATTATGTCACATGCAATGTTTAATTCTCAAGCTCATCTATAATTGGTCTCTATTAGTTCATCAAATTAAGATTTTAATTTATTGTAACTGATACATAGAAACTAAAAAAGTGTACATATTAATGGGGTACTATAGAATGTTTTGATACATGTTTCTATTGCATTCAAATATATTTTTTTTATTGTGCTGGAGGTATATTGTGGCATTTATAAATGGTCTTACAATATATCAAACATATCATACTTGAATTCACCCCCTCCATCATTTTCTTTTATTCCTCCTTCCCCCATTCCTGGAATAGTTTTAACAGGTCTCATTTTCCATTTACATACATTTGTACATAATATTTCCACCACATTCACCCTCCTACACCCTTCCCTTATATCGTTCCCCTTCCTGTTGGTACCAGCTCCCTAGACAGGACCTGTTTTGCCTTTCTGTTCTCCGTTTTTGTAAAAAAAAATGACATTTTTGTTTGTTTAAGATAGCTATACAGGGAGTTTTCTTGTGACATTTCCATGTGTATGTGTATTATTACCTGAATTGCTTCATCTCCTCTATTATTATTCTTTCTGCCTTTGTCCTCTTCTTATGGCAATTTCAACAGGTTTAAAAATTCTGTATTCATTCTTGTATAGACAGTATATCAACCGTATTCACCTTCTTAACTTCCTTCTTTTACCTTTAGTGTGACCCGTTTTTCATAATATTGCTTGTATTTGTATTGGGTCTATTTTCCACTTATGAAAGAAAACATGTGGCATTTGTCTTTCTGAACCTGACTGACTTCACTTAAGATGATGTTCTCCAGTTCCATCCATTTACCTGCAAATGACAAAATTTCATTCTTCTTTGTGACTGAATAAAATTCCATTGTATATACCACATTTTCTTAATCCATTCTTCAGTAGTGGGGCTTCTTGGCTGTTTCCATAGCTTAGCTATTGTGAATAATGCTGCAATAAACATGGGTGGGTAGGTGTCTTTATTGTAAACTGACTTACATTCCTAGGAATGGTATTGCAGGATCATATGGCAGTTCTATTTTTAGTTTTTGAGGAGCTTCCATACTGTTTTCATGGTTGTTGTACTAATTTACTTCCCACCAACAGTGTATAAGAGTTCATTTTTCCCCACATTCTCACCAACATTTGTTGTTTGTGTTCTTGATGATAGCTATTTTAATAGGAGTGAGGTAGAATCTTAATGTGGTTTTTGCCTTGCATTTCTTTTATGGCCAGGGGTGGTGAGCATTTCTTCATGTGTTTTTTGGCCATTTGGACTTGAAAAATCTCTGCTTAGTTCACTTGACCATTTCTTCATTGGGTCATTGATTTTGGGGGAGTTTAGTGTTCCCACTGATATAGGCTTAAGCTCCTGGGATTATGATCCCAGTACACAGTGATTGTCAGTTTGGGTATAGGGGTTTGTCCTGTGACATTAGTTATCTGATGTCTCTAAGAAGAATTGATAATTTCCAATGTGTTCAGCTTTCTTTTTTATGTGAGTTCACTTTGCAGTAATGTCTTTTAATTGTAAGTCCTAATTAATAAAATCTGGAAGGTAATGATTTCTGTCCCTTAAATTGGTTATTTTCCCTAGTGCTCACTGCAACATATTACTTGCCTTAGATGTTATTCCTTGGACTCCTTTGGTTATTATCCCCATGGATGTTTACATATGTCTAAATTCATTAAATTATATAAAGTTCATATGTGCAATATGGTATATCAGTTATATCCAAATGAATCTGTTAAAAATCAAGTCAAAATTCATGTGGCTCTTACCACCCTCAGGGTTAATCCTTGGAATGAGATACCTCTGAGGTCTTTTCCAGGATCCCCTTGCCTATACCCTCTATCTTAAAAGCACTCTCTTTAGTGTTTCTCTTTTACACATTCTGAAAAATGCTGTTACTATTCCTATTTTCTCTTCTGGAAAACACTCATTTTTACCTTTTGTGTAACCAGTTTCTCATGTCTTTTCTAGATAATTCAGATAGTCTCTTCCTGCTTTGAAATTCTGTTGTAAGCATAACTCTACCACCCTGCTTTTCTCATTCTTCTTATGTTTTCCAATTGGGTAAGCTTTGTCTTCTTGTTTGAATTTTAAAGCTTATTGAGAGCAGGAATCAAGTTTTAATATTTAAATTTCTCTTACACCAGATATCTAGCCAGAGTCAGGTACTTATCAGCGACTGACAAAGTGTCAATGATGAATTGTTACATATCAATATTTGGTAGAAAATTATGACTGCTCTGCAAAGTGATTTATAGACATAAACACCAACCTCATCTTTTATTCCAGAAAAGCAAGTCACCTGTAGATTTTTAAGAGCTAATAATTAAGACACCTCATACGTATTAATAGATGGACCAAGGATCACTTTTCAAATGCTCTCTCCAAATTCTTTCTGCAGCCTGTGTAGATCTGTTTTTGGAAACTGCATTGGAAATGCGGAGGGGAAGGCTTGGTGAAGAGGAACAGGATCAGCTTTCTGCCCCGTGCCTGGCAGAGGCTGTGGCTGCCCTCCCTGTTAAAATTAAAATCAAGCTGAATTTGTGGTGCCTATGCACCTTCTAGGACTACAGGGGGTTCTTTCACAGCAGGTTACACAGAACTAAAACAAATGAGCATGGTGGGATTTACCAAAAGTAGAGAGAAAATGGGGAGAGCAGAATCAATTTAAACCATGAACAAAGTAAATTCCCATGTTTTTTCTTGGTTAAGTATGTGTTTATAGAGAAGAGAAACTATAGTTTTAGTCAGGAACGAAAGCAATGAATATAAAGACTAACAGGAAGATGTGGTCTCAAAAATTCAGTTAAAAAAATTCTCATATTTGCCTAGTTCAAGGATGGTACATAAATGTAAATGGCAAAAGAAGACTTGAGCTATAATGCTGCTATTGTGAACTCTCAGGTATGTATATAATCGGAAGGGAACAGAAACAGGGTTAACTTTTAAAAGCATGTATATTTGGAATATAACTTGTACTTCAGATATCAGTATAGGAGATTCTCTGATTCTAGAAATTCTCTTCCACCCACTCAACTTTAAGATCTTGCATCTCTCAAAGAAGAACCAGAAGAGTTAGTAAGCCAAGCTAATCTTAATAAATGTAAATACAAATATTTTAGGGGGAGCCAAAATCTAAACAGTTTACTTCAGATAATGAAATGCTAATGCTTAATAACATTCCTTTGCATGTGCATAGTGCTATTTATCTCTCAAATCACTTTAACTCATTTTACTCTCACAACTAAGTATAGGAGTTATTTTCCTAATTTAAAGACAGTTACATTGAATCACCTTTGAGTTAATGACTTTGTAAAGACCCAGCTTGAGTTTATAAATGAGAGGCCTGTACTTAGAATCTGTTTTTTTTTCTGAGCACAATTTTCTTTCAACTTTATGCTGAATGCCAGTAAATCAGAGGTGTCTTTTCTGCATTTATACTCATATGTCCAAAAGGAAATAAAAATTACTTCCCCAAATTTTCTATATATGATATTTTATGTTTACAAATATATGTATTTAAGAATCTACCCCAAAACTTATCTGCAGGTTTGCCCTCAGTTTGACTCATGATCTGCTTCTTTAGTTTAAAGGCAGGAAGATACTGAAAAGTCAGCAGGGTGCCTACCCACTTTCACCTCACTCACAAGGTAGCTGATCACTGGTGAGATTATAACTCTTCAAAGAAACAGGAGTTTCACCCCTCAAGAAAGAAGCCTGGCAACTCAGCAACTCTGCAAATAATACCCATTCCTGGCCATTTACAGCCCTTTTCAATTTCACTTGAGAAAGCAAACAGCAGAACTAGAAGAAAATGTCACAGAAGACAGGGTTTCTGCAGTGATGGGGGAATGCAGAAGGGCAAATGTGGAGGAGTGACCCAAATAAGGGTCATGGGAGTTAGGGGGCATCATTAGAATGTTGGGGAGTAGAGCTTTTAACTGCATTGGACAACAGGCAAGAGAAAAAGAAAACAGACTTCTCACTGATATTTGTGATAGAAGGCACTACCCAGCTTTGATTTACTTTTATATGGTGACCATTTTCAAGGCCCCCTTTTACCCCTTTCTCTCACTACTGTCAAAATTCTTAACTCCTAATGCAAGACCTATACCCCTATATATTCGTTTTCCTTTATGGCATGATGCAGAAATGCAATTAGTTTTTATTAACTCAACATAGAACATGGAATCTAATGTTTCCTCCATTTTGACATGCAAATCCCATTGGCTTCATTTATCAAAACTTGGTGATATGGTAATATTTCTTTTTGCCGAATGAATCCCTTACCTCTTTCCCATTTATTCTTCAAGTCAAGTGCCACGTTTTCTGTTTTTTGGTTGGTGATCCCATATGCACCTATACTCAACCAGAACTCTTTGTGCCCATCAGAGTCCTGGGATGGGAGGGCTGTATAATCATCTATAGATTTTGTATGGCTTCTTTCTTTTTAATTCAAACAAATTCAGCCAAGTATACTGTCTTTATTTCAGGCTCCTCAAAGAGCATCTTGGGGAAAAAGAAGTTGAGCTGACACTCATCTTTGATTCAGTGGTGGAAGCTGACTTGGCTAATTATACTTGCCACGTGGAAAACCGAAATGGACGAAAACATGCCAGTGTTTTGCTGCGTAAAAAGGGTACTTTTTTTTTATAACTATAACTGTATTTTTTGTTAACTACCAGTAACTATTAAAGTTAAATATGCTTTTGGGCCTTATTTTTTCATTTAGTATAAACTTCTGTTAATCATTTTGTATTTTTAAAGAACACCATCTCTCATGCTACGCATATTAGCACAAAATGCCTATGACCTTCAATACCATTAGGGAGTAGAGAAAGAAATAAAGTATTGTTATGCGTTAAGGCAATTAGGATAAAATGTACCCAGTTTTAATTATATGTTACATATAATTTGATATATGACATCTAATGATTTCTGCATATTTTACCTTCTTATATCTTATACTGCTTAAATGAAATGCTAAAGATTATATTATCAGATAAGAAAAAAAGTTCTTTTATTCTGTTACTAAAAATAAATAAAATAATTAATAGTGCCATGTAATATTCTCATAATTATCATAAATATTATAAACTATACTTTGTGATGTGATTTGAGGTTAAGAAGCATTTAGTGGGTACATATATTCCTAAATAATTTGGCATGTATGGAAATCCTTCTTTGATTCCAGATTGGGTGGAATTATAAATAATTGTATAGAACTCTAAATTTACAGATAAAAAAAAAAGAAGACATAGGAATAACAATCCCAGTTTCCAGAGAAGCTATTGAATTGGTTCTTACCTTGCCATAAGTCTTCATTATTGCAAAAGGCTAAATACTTTGTGTGTGCATCTGGCAAAGGATTTGTAAATGTAGCAGAACAAATGTTCTTAATCAGTGATCTTGTTGCCTAGGCCATAGAACAATAGAACAGATTCAGTTAGCAAAGTCACTAGTTGTACCTACTGGCCAGGATGGAATTTCTATTTTCTAGCCAGCCCTAATACTTGAGCATAGCCAGACGGTCCAGAAGAATCAAGGAAGTGTCATTATTCAGAGAGTAATGCTTCTATCTGTTTAGCACCATTTCTTACTCAATTGAACTTTGTTCTGTCCTAAAATGAAGAGTATTTAAGTACAAAGGAATTTAATATGGAAAGTGAAGCCCAAAGAGTCAGGTTCAGGTGATCCTGGTTTAGCTACCTGGTGCAGTAGTTCTAACTTGTCTCATTAGACTCCCCAAGCCTCTTGTATAGTTACTTTGAGGTTCGAATGATAACAATATAATGGATGTGAAATATATAATGCCTAAACAATGTTCATAATTATCCTGATCTTGGATAATTTCTCCTGTGCATTAGATAATCACTTAGTCTGCCTACATAAAGGCAGGCATTGACCATGTCCAGATTTCTTGTGGCAAAGTTCACTTTGTTCCTCTCCCTTTCACTCTTATTTCAGTTTCAAAGATTCTTCGAGCCAGAGCCTGATGCTATACTTCTGTATCATAAGCAATTCAGGCAATACCTGGCTACTAATAGGCACTAAAATATATTCTGGTTGAATAAATGATTAAAATTATCGTATTATTGAAGACTTGTGTACAGCAAGCACATGGATATGGTATTGGGGTTTAGACTGCTGAGTGAAATGGACCACTGTAAGTCCTTATGGAGCTTGTTATTCTTTGGGGAGGTGAGAATTCAAAGAGAGACAAACACTGAACATTAAGCAAAAGATACATATATATATATATATATAATTATCAATTATCATTATAAGGAAAAATAATGAGGATCCTATAATTCAGCCAGTGGGGAAAGAAATAGTCTTAGTTTTAGAATAAACCCATCTCTCTAATAAATAAAACAATGAGACACCCTTAAAATTTCTCAAAATATGACACTGGAAACTAAGGTACACCATAAAACTCTGCTGGTTTCCATGGCTTCTGCAAGGAAACCTGTTCAACATTCTGAATAACTGACAATATTAGTTCTCTTCTTCTTGATATTTAAATATTGGAGTTTCCCAGGTTCAGGTTTCCTTCTCTTACTCATTTGCCAGGTGGTTTCATTTAGACTCCATCTTAATGGCTTTGCTAAACATTTATATGTTAACTCCTAAATTTGTATCTCTAGTTTAGACTTCTCACCTGGAGTCTAGACTCATATGTCCACTAGCTTATCTAACAATGCCACTTACATACCTAGTAGGCATATCTAGCTTAGCTTGTCCCAAACAAGATTCCTAATTTCTTGTCCCTACAAACCTGATTCTCCAGCTTCTTTTGTTCATCATCACTATCCTAGTTGCTGAGGGCAAAATCATTGGAATCATCCTTCACTTTTTTCTTTTGTCTACTCACATTCTATATCTAGGCTACCAGTAAACCCAATGGCTCTCCTTTCAAAATCTATCCAGGATCTGACCCCTGCCACTACCTTCACTGCCACCACCTTAGCACCACCAATTGGTGCTAGTCTGAGCTACTAACACCAATTGAATGAAATCCTTAACCTTTACTATGGCTTATTACAAAATCTGATCTTATTTCTAATTCTTACTTTCTACCATAATCTGCCTTAAACATCATAAACATTAGCCTCCTTTCTTTGTCTTTTTTTGCTCCTCATTAATATGTTTTGACTGTTTCTTTTTCAAAAAACATTTTTATTAGCATGTATTAGTTGTACAGGGGGTTTCATTGTGACATTTCCATATATACTTACAATGTATCTTGGTTAAGTTAATCCCCACCGTCATTCTCCCTCATACCCTTCCCCTTACTTAAAATGATTTTAACAGGTTTCAGTGTACTATTTTCATACAAGTACAAAAAGTATATCAACCATATTCACCCTCCTTTATACTCTCTATTCACTCTCTGCCTCCTACTAGTACCCTTCCCTAACAGGACCAACTTTGCATTCCTGTCCTTCATTATTAAGTATATAATTCATCGTTCAAAGTAGTTTCATCATAGTATTTCACATGGAAATGTAGCCCCCTCTATTACTCCTCCTTACTCTTTCCCTTCTACCCCTTATTATTTAACTAATGTCAGTCCATTTCGTTGTGCCCTCTTCCTACACAGATGCAATGTATTTCAATATTATTCACTCTCATCATTCTCATTTCCTCTCCTTCCTCCCCCTTTTCCCCTCTTTTCTATTTCTCATGCCCACCAAAACAGTCCTTCCTCAAATTATTCTCATTTGCTATTTTGTCTTCCTGGAACACTTTTCCCCCAGCTGTTCCTATGACTCACTCCCTTTCCACAGGTCTCTTTTTATATATTGCTTATACAATAGGCCTTCCCTGACCACCCTATATACATTTTTATAAAAATATTTATTGTCCTTCATTTTCTTTTTTCTCCAAAGTGGCTCTATTTCTTTTTACTATATCCATTACTGTTTGATAGTACATTACATATTTGTTTTGTTCTTGTCTTCTTTCCCCCACTAGAAAGTAAACTCCATGAAGAATGGTCTTTTCCTGCCTTATTTATTGCTGTATCCCTAGGTTATAATACAAAATAAGTACTGAAAAATGTTTGTTGGATGAAAACTCTCATGACCATCACAATAAGGTGGGGGAAAGATGAGATTGGTAGAGAAGATTTGATCTGAATGTCTGCCCTGGGTTACTTAAATTTTCTCTTTTCAAAAAACATTTTACTTTACAAGTTTGGTATTGAAAGTTCAAAGGCCTTAGAGACTAGGCAAAAATAGATTTTTTTTAAAAGTGGGATGGACATTAAGAAAAACAAAACACAGATTAGGGAAAATATGACATAGTTTAGAAGAGAGCTACTACTCTGTTCTAGAAGATTTTTAACCAGACTTGCTGAAATGTGAACCCAGGGATATGAGAGCTTCAATGTTTTCAAGGGAGGCTGAAAGACAGGATATGAATTTTTATTTTTAAATATTAGTATTCATTTTTCTTGAAACATTGCATAATTCAACAAAACCATTTGGGCCCATGATATATTAGTTTGTAGTCTGTTCGGGTTAGCAGTCAATTTTTTTTATTTTTTCATTTCATTTTCAAATTATATGAATAAACACTATGGGGGGAATTTAATTTCGATAATTCCATACATGCATATAGTGTACCCTGAACAAGTTCACCCATCTATTATATTTTTTCACTGTGCTTTGCAAAAGGATGCAGGTAATCTCTTCTCATTTGGTCTCCTTAGGCAGTCTGAAACATGTGATAGAACCCTAAAGAAAGGCAAGAATCCCTGTGACTCTGCCATACATGTTTTAATCAGATGAAGCTTTGTCTTGTTTTAAGAAACTTCATGTATTTCTTTTGGATTTGGGACTTTTCAAGTCTTCATCATAACATAGTGGTTCTGGTGTTCCCACCTAGAATACAAATATGGCTTATTTTATGGAACAATAACTTCTTAATGAGCTGTAAATCAAATATTTTAAATGTCCCATGTGATCATTATGGAGAAGAAACATATGATGAATCCTTTCATAAACTGAAAAGGGCTTTGTAAAATGAAAACTAATATCCAACACATCAAATTATTGTGGTCAGGATTTGTAAAAAAAATGCATCTTCCACATGTCTCTACCATACTTCCTTATTCTTTGATGAACTATTAGCCACTAAGTGCAACTACATTTTAGTTAAGAGTTCCATATGAAATATTTTCTTTGGTAAGTCAAGACCTGAACTTAAGCTAAATACATTCTTTAATTATTTCTGCTTCTCTGCATATACCCCTTTCTCAAAAAACAGAGATATATCACTAAATCTCTATCTTCATTCCCACTGCTGTTGCTCTACCCTCATCACCCAAATAATAGAGGAAGCTTTCTTAGTCCACTCAGGTTGCCATAGAGAATGCAGAGAATGACTTAAACTAGTAATTTTTAAAGAATAGAAATTTATTTCTCATAGATAGACTGAGAAGATGAAAACCAAGATATTAATAGATTTATATCTGATGAGGACCCAGTCCTCATTTCTATCTGAGGCTACATCAGAATAGCCTTTACCATTCATATATCTATCCACATTCTAAATACAGCCACTTAACTGATCTCTAAGAATATTGAGGCTTTCCCCAAAGATCCCCTTTTTTCTAAGCCCTTGCCAAAATTTCTCTGAAGTCTTCTTTCATTGCCATTTACTTCAAAATTCTTTCAGCCTCTAGCCATTACCCAGTTCCAAAGCCACTTCCACATTTTCAGGCATTTGTTAGAGCACCACCCCTATTTATAGGACCAATTTATGTCTTAGTTCACTTGACTGCTATATCAAAATACCTTAGACTGAGTCATATATAAAAAACATAAATTTGTTGATTACAGTTCTAGAGGCTGGGATGTCCAAGATCAAGTTGCCAAAACAATACACTTGGTCTCTGCTAATGGCCCATTCTTCATAGAAAGTGCACTCTATGTATCCTAAGATGGCAAAATAGGTAAACAGGCTCCCATGGGCCTCCTTTATAAAGGTACTAATCCCACGCATGATAGTGAAGCTCTCATGACCTAATTACCTCTCAAAGGCCCCACATCTTACTACCACCACTGCTTTGGGGAGCGAGGTTTCAGCATATGAATTTTTTTCTAATGACAGAGGTCAAACCCAAAGCCTCTCACAGACTAGCCAAGTACTCTAACCCTATGCCATATCCTTAACACAGCACAGCATATGGATTTTGAGAGTACACCAGCAGTCAGATCACATTAGAAACCTTCTAATGGGATCTCGTAACCTGATTCCCAATTTATATGCCAGAGAAGCAAGCTCAAGCATTCCTAGCCTTCCTTTTCTGCAGTTTCTTGGCTTCATCTGCTGTTTGTCACATACTGTAATACCTTATCTTTGTGTTCATGGTGAAGAAACAGCTGGGTTAAAACTAAGAAGGTTAAAAATGAACTATACATGTATTTTGGATGCCAAGAAAAAGTTAAAATCCCTTAAATATTTGCTTTCTGGTTGTAGCTATCCTTATGAAGTGTATATAAGAAATAGCCCAGATAAAATGACTTTCAGCTTCTTTGTCAGGAATGGCCCCGGAAGTATAGAGCTTGCTGAGATGAAAAATAGCAATTGCAAACAGAAGACAAAAGAAATGCCAGGTGTCATTTGGTTCATGTCAATTCTACCCTCTGATTATAGGATAAATGTTTGCATTTTGATGTGGCTGCCTAGGCAGAATCAAACAATACTGGTTGTGCCATAGAGCCTAGGTACACAGGTTTCAACTTAAACAGCCTCCATTATGTAATATCTTTCAAAGACATTATTATAAAATGGACACCCAAACCACAAAGGTACTTTCCACACCATAGTTTTCTTCCATAAATTTACTGTCAAAAAAGTGTCTGTTACTTGGGAGCATAAATTGTTTCTGCTGCTGAAGTTTTCCATCTACCTAATAGCAACTGTACTTTGTAAATAACATAAAAGTTTCTGGAAAAAGTTCCCATTTAGTGACTTTGCAAACAGTTGAAAACTGTTCTGACCAGAGTAGGGGAGAAAAGAGAGAGAAGAGGAGAAGAGCAGAGAGAGGAGAGGAGAGGAGAGAGTAGAGAGGAGGGGAGGGGAAGGGAAGAGGGGAAGAGGGAGGAAAGGGAAGAGAGGAGAGGGAGAAGGAGCAGAGTGCTAAAGCATTTGCAGCATAAAATGAACATCTTACAACAGGAAAAACATTTTGAATCAAGTCAGCCAATGCCCTAAGAGGAAAGAGAATTTGTTTTTCAGAATAGCAACAAAAAGTATGTTGCTTCCAATATAGCACTGGCTATTGATGATGTATTATTGATACAAGATGATGAGAAAACAAGCAAAGATTGTGATTTGCATCCCAACATAAGTCTCTTATACAAGCTTTATCCCTCATAGAGAGGTAGGCAGTGGTTCCTAGGGGTAAGAGGCAAGGTTAATGTGTGGTGGTATTTTTATTTTTACCTAAAGATTTTGCAGCTTAATTTTCAAAATGAATTTGTCTTCCAGCAGGCAGTACAGGGACATATTCCAATTTCCTGTCCCTACTCATTGAACTCCCTCATAATTCTCCTTATTGACATAGGTTGCCCTTCACAACATCCTGACTCTTCCTTTCTCCTTCCTCTTCTCCCCTCTCATTCAAAAATGAGTTACATTTATTTAGATTTCTTCCATTTCTACTCCATGATTTTCCTGATTGGCCATGTTAGGTCCGGCCATCATCATTTCCTCTCTCACTGCACTTCCATTATAGCACAAAACTCTCCCTCTCCCTATAAAACTTAACACTTTTTTTCACACAGGATTACAGGGAGCCCCTCCTACCTGCCTGGCTATAGCTACAGGAGTCTGCAGAAACTCCCTCTCCAATGTAGTGTTGAGATCTGCACAGTTCTTTCATTATGGCTGATAAATGGTGGTTTATTTTCTTCCCTTATAGCATAAAAGGCAAAAGTAGCCAAAATTCACAAGTCACAGGTTGTCAAGAAGTACTGCCAAGAATTCTATAGAAGAACAGATAGAAAACTTTCTGTTGTCATTTTCCAGGTTACAGCATATATAGCTGTTGTGTAATATAAACAGCCTTCAATTTGAAGTTAATACACTTGGGCTCATGTCCCATTTGGGCCACTTCTTAGGTACATGGTGTTGAATAAATACTTAAAGTACTATATCTCAAATTCTTCATCTACAGAGTAGGAATAATCGGGTTTATTTACAGAATAGATAATAGACCGCCTGAAGATTTTATTATAATATCATATATTACCCATATATATTATATTTTTATCCTTTCACAAACTGTAATGTGCCAACTGGATCTTGTTATATTGAGCCTGAATAATTTCTCTTAAGCAATAATCCTATGTAGAGATAAAGGAAATTCCCAGAGGAAGACAGACTACCTGGTTTTCAAGAATGGCATCCTGTCATGGTCAGGAGTTTGATTGTGACCATGTCATCCAGTGAAACTGTCTGATGACAACCAAAGTCAGAAGCAACTAATGCACAAAGTAGAATGCCCTTCCCTTTCCCAGTTTCTACTTACATAGTAAGCTGAATTAGTTACTTGGTAATTATGCAATTAGATTAAAGGAGGTCATCTAATCTTATAGGCAATTTCATTTGATTATGTTGAGACTACTGAATGTTTTTGTCCTTCCACAGAAAATATGTCTCTGTTCTGGTGTCTCTTGGGTTGATTTAGCATTTCTCCTCTTGACAGTGTTGAACTCACATTCTAAGTTTTCCTCTGGCTTTCCATTTCTTGAAATTCCATGATACCATCTTGTCTTCTGATGATACACTCTTCAGATTTGTTGCTATCACTAATTAAGGTATAGGTAATTCACAGTTCTCTGAGACTGAGAGACATTACATGTCTCTCTCTATTATGTATTGATTTAATTACTCCTACTCTCAAGGTTCTAGGAATGCCCCATTGGAGCAGACTAAGGATGGTATAGCTTGGTTTTTGCTAAAAAGGCTAAGTAATTAGCCTGGATTTTTTATTCTTTTGTACTTCCACTGGGTATATTATATCACATATATATTGTAGTCATTTATTCAAATAAGTAGGGGAAATGGGTAAGCTAATTTTCCCTGCTTACCTTGTATTAGATTATGTCCTACTGGAGTTAAGTAAAACACTTAGATCTTGCAAGTTCATTAGATTTTATTTGATTCTGAAAGTAATTTTATAATGTTGTTCTCCTGTAGAAGAATAGGATCCATGGCCTGAAAAATACAAGATAGTAATCTTGCTAAACCAATAAGAAAATTTAACAGAAACAACAAAACATTGACCCTGAAACCAGAAAAATGCAGCTTTAATATTTACCTAAAATACAGCTAAAGCAAAAGTATATATGTAAAAAAATAAGCTGTGTTCACAAAAAATTGGGAGTGACTATTCTTTTTTGATAGACATACCACCTTTAATAATAAATTACTAAAATCTTTAGAAAAGAGCTATTTTATGAAAAACTGATTTATATAAATACATCAAGAGCAAAGCATTATGCAAGAATATTCTCAGAAGAAAAGCAGAATGTATAGTATGGCCTTTATACTAGACATATGGGAAAATCCCAAATGTTGTTGTTTTAATTCTCTTTTCCTTTTTATTCTATTCTATTTGATTCAGATTTAATATACAAAATCGAACTTGCAGGGGGTCTGGGGGCAATCTTCCTCCTCCTTGTAATGCTGGTGGTGATCTACAAATGCTACAATATTGAACTGATGCTCTTCTATCGACAGCATTTTGGAGGTGATGAAACTACTGATGGTAAGATATCTCTTATTGTCCAACTTCAATCCAGAAACATTTATTAGCTTGGTGTGATGGTATGCTCCTATAATGCCAGCTACCTGGTGGGACAAGAAGATCATGAGTTTGGGGCCAGCCTGAGCAAAATTAGAGAGCCTCTATCTCAAAAATGAAACAAAAACAAAAGGGCTGAGGGTGTGGCTCATGTAATAGAGCACTTGCCTAGCAAGCATGAAACTCTGGGTTCAATCTCCAGTACTGCCAAAACAAAAAAGACATTTATTTATGATTATGTAAGAAGACTTCCCTGTTCTTAAGAAATACAAACTAAAATATTTAAGGGTAAAGGGCTATGACACATACAACTTACCTTCAAATAATTTAGGAAAAAAGTTCATCTGTAATGAAAGTGAAGAGAGGAGAAAATATTAACAATAAGCAAAATATCTGGATAAAGGATATATGCATGGTTTTGAAATAGTTTTAGTTTTGTAATGTTCCTATGTTTGAAATTTTTTCCAAATAAAAATTTAACATGGGGATGTTAGATGGTCAAGAGACAAAACAAATTCTATCAAAGCACTTCCTCTTAGTAAGAAACAATAATAAATCCAATATTTTTGTACAGAAAATTAAAATTTAAGTACAAATCAGTTTTAACCTTTGCATTCATCAAGAAAACTTGTTTGTTTGGTTGCTTACATGCAAGAAACTGCTTTAAAATTCTATAGATGCTCTTTTTATAACTCAAAGTACATGAACCTACATATTTTGGATTCTAATAGTACCATTCTCAAAAATGATTCCAAAGATACAAATTCAGAATATATCTTACAATTTTCTCATATTTGCTTTTTGTAGCTTTTGGAAATCTAATGAATAAAGTATCAAGAAGCATTGTACAAAGGCTTGTTTCTTTGAGCATTCAAAAATGTTTTAATTTTTCAAGAGAGCAAATTGCTCTTTTTCCAATCAATATTTATAAGAAATCATGTCATATCACTCTTTATATATGAAGTCCTCACTCCAAAACTACTGCAAGACTTGGAAACATGTATGTAGAATGCCCTAACTTAAGCCCCTCAAAAACTTTGGAAAAGAAGTACAATTAGTAAATCATTACTTTGAAAAGCAGATTTAAAACTTAGAATTTATTTTACTGAAATAATGAAAGGTTAAGGTTTTTGGGTTTTTTTTTTTTTTTTGGTGGTACAGGGGTTTGAACTCAGGGCTTTATACTGAGTAGGCAGGTGCTCTACCACTTGGGACACACTGCCAGCCCTTTTTTTTGTGCTCACTATTTTCAAGATAGGGTTTCAAGAACCATTTACCCAAGCCAGCTTTGAAGTGCAATTCTCCTGATCTCTGTCTCCTCAGTAACTAGGATTACAAGGTTAAGGTTTTGCTTGGTTTATTTGAGTTGATGATCTTACCTCAAAGAAGATTGATTTTGCTTCATTTTTATAGTGATAAATATAACATCAAATATTTTCAGGAATCTTTGATTTTGGTCTTATTGTTGCTATTATGCAAACAGTGATATAAGTGGGTCTTAATTGACTTTTATGTTTTCACAGTAAATTAAAGCAATGTTTCTTGATAAGTACATATGTATACTCATTTTCAAGCTGTGCAATTCCCCAGCAATTATGGCAGATTTTTTAAAGGTTCTGCAGATTGCTATTCAGACATACTTCAAAATGAGAAATAAGGAACTGTTCTGACCATAATTGTATACTACAATAGTTATATGAAAAAAGTGGTCAATTATACCATGCTCTTATAGACAATAGTTAATATTGAAAAACCAGGCATTTTACCTTTATACATAAAATAACTAGATGAAATATACTAGGGAGGAAAATATCACTGGTTGCCAGGCACCAACAAGTGGCTAAAGTATCCAATTAAGAAGGCCAATAAACATTCACTGTCTATATAAAAGAACATAAAATTGAGGCTCCTGTGATTCATCTAAGTCATAATTATGAGTAATTTATTAATATCTGTAATAGATGATACAATTTATTGGGTTAATCTACGGTAATTAATTACATATATTAAGTTTGTGCTAGTATCATTGGATCATTTTTTAGTATCTTTTTTTAGTTTCACAAGTGGAAAAATTTATTTTGATTTATTTCATTTTATTTTTGATTTATCACACATTGATAATATGAGGGAATTTGTGATAATTCCCTACATGCGTAGTATGTACCTTGAACAAGTTCATCCCCTCTATTGTGTTCCCATTCCCCTCTCCTTCTTCCCCTCTTTTTCAGTGGTTGGTGGGTTTCATTCTACTGTCTTTATATGTACATGTGCAGCATACTTCCATCCTCTTCACCCTCAGTATCCTCTCCTTTTCCCTTCCCACTCCTGCTGATCCCCACCTTCAGACAATACATTCATGTCACAGTATCATCATAATCATCACCTTAGATATGGTATTAAGTATTCCATTTTGCATCTTTATTTCCAGTGTGGTTCATGTGGTTAAAAAGCTCCAGTAATATAGAGCATTTTATATATTTTATTTTACTTATGTATTTATTGGTGGTATTAGCGTTTGAATTCCAGGTTTCACGCTTTCTAGGCAGGTGTTCTACCACTTGACCCACTCTACCAGGCCTTTTTTATGTTGGGTATTTTTTCAAAATAGGGTCTCACAATTTGCCTGGGATGGCTTCAAACTATCCTGATCTGATCTCTGCCTCTCAAGTAGCTAGGATTAGAGGTGAAAACCACCGGTGCCCAGCAAGAGCCTTTTAATTAGACAATTTTTTATGTTAGTTCAAACCCATTGGGGTCTATAATATCTGGTCGATGGTACTTCAAGGGTTCTATCAGGAAGGAGAATGAAAGTATTTTATCTTCCTACATTGAACCTTGAACCTTATAAACACAACCTCTGCACTAGCTGAATGGAATGTGAAACAGTCAGCAGGTACATGATGAGGATGAATAAATAAATTTTAACATTCTTTTAGAAAGATCCATATAAGCTACCAAACTTTTCATGGCTTCATTTAAATATTTTGGCATTTCATAAACACAACTTTTTAACTCATACACTTTTTCTTCATGTTTCTTTAACCAAATCTATACTGACATTTCTTGAAAGGTTTTATAAAAATACTATTTTATAAAATAAAATTCATCTAAGAAGCTTTGATTTCTTAAACAATTTTAATATCTTTCATTTAATTTCAACCCACCAAATAAAGACTGCTTCATTTATTTAACCTTTCACATATTCAATCATTAAATATTTAGGCATCTGCTATGTGGCAGCCATTATGCATGATACATTTATTTATATTCTCCATCTGTATCATAGATTTATACACACTCAGATACTATAGTAGACACTAGGTTTAAAATAATCAATAAGGACACACAGGGTTTTCACTTTAGCAGCAAAGAATTTGCAGTATGTTCAATATAGTCACAGAAAAACTGGGCTGTAAGCAGGAATGAATTTATGGTAATGAACAGGATTAAAATTAAGTTTAAAGATATAGACATGTGTGACAACAAGAAAATTCTTTCACAGATCGTATGGTTCTCTCCTTCATAACTTCTCTCTTCATTAGGAATAGCATACCTATGTTGATGACTCTGCCAGTCCTCTTCCTTCTAATGCTCTGTCTATACTATGCTCTACTTTCTGGGTCCTCAGATGAGCTTGGTCAGTGTGATTTAGCACAGAGAAAGGCTCATTAATGTTGCCTACAAAACTGGTGTCACTGAATCGCCTTTGGGTTTTAAGACAACGTTCAGGCCTTCTGGGTAACCTTTGTACCTTGTTGTCTCTTTTGCTCTATCCATCTTGTTCCTCTTTGTGAGGAACAGCTGTGGCTATTCATGAGATTTTTTGGCTGTCTACATAAGGCTGAAGTACATTTTTTAAACTGTGGCATCTGCGTCATTGCTGGCTCACTAGCTGGCATCCTAGAGTTTCTGGGACATCTGACATGGTGGCTTTGAGAGCCCTCTTCCTACTCTGGCAAGCTACCATAAGCTCTTCACCTTTTGTTCATTTTAAAGGGGCGTGACTGAAACCAGAAGCAAAGATTTTACAAAGAGTGATGTGCTTCTAGAATGCTAGGTAAAATGTATTATCCAGACATACTCAATGTTAACATGTCAAAAACATTAACATTCTTTGTCATAATTGATTTGGGGTGTACAAATATAGAAATATTTTTTGGGGAGAAAGTCTTTGTTGCATTGAACTATACTATAAGGACATAGGTGAAGCATATAAGAATAGGACAGGAATATGTGAGTTTGGGTATGGAGGACAAATACTTTAGACTGGATGAAAAATGGAGTAAGAGTCTACAAGGTCTGATAAGATGGGTGATGAAGTCAGGTACCCATTGAAGATGGCTTAGCTCATAGTAGATGCTAAATAAATCATTGCTGAGTAAATTGATATGAGTTGAATTTAGGGTTTATGAAATAGGAAAGCTATCAAAGTCAGAGCAAACAAGGGTCTAGTCTGACAGGGAGTCTGAGGCAGCAACAATAGCCACCAAGAGCAATGAAATATATTCCACTCATAAGAATGGAGCTGGTTGTCCTTTGGCCTGTTTTATTCTTCCAGCTGTGTATCATCAGCAACTCTGAGTCCCAGGTGAGTAATTATAGCTGGAGCCAGTCAAGGGCCTGCAGGTGCATCCTGCGCTTGATTGGAACAGGGGCAGAGGTGCTAGGATTACCAGGAGGTTCTTACATTAGCATTGCTTATGAACATTCTCACTTCCAAGTGGAGTTTTATGTACAGCAGTGGAATGTGCCCAATTTGTAAGCCAAATGATCTCCTCAACTATCCAGGGCAGTCCTTCATGTGCATCTGCTTCTAGGCAATCAGGAAACCTAAGCAAGTTTTATGGAAGCTTTTTGCATGCAGAGGACATGCTAAAGCATTAAGTCTTCCTTCTGGTCTCAGGCACCATCTCAACATAGATGAGAATTCTTTTCATGTGAAGGCTGAAATTTTACTAGAATCAGAGCAACATAATTTCTACCTTGAATATATCTATAAAGTCAGGGAGTCCCACCTGCTCCTACTCATGGAACCTATATCTTGTTGTATGTCTATAGTTTATACCTCATTCAGCAGGTAGAACCAGATCATTAATGGCATAGGTAAGTGAGTGCTTCATTTTATAAATTATATTTCAGTCAGATATTAGCTATATCCTAATCAGATCTGTTTTGATGGAAAATATTGGTGTGTTTTAGAAACAAATTCTCACAAATTCATACCAGCCTTTCACAATTATTATTTGAAGGTAACTGGCCTTAATAAGCATTAATAGTTCTACAGGACCCGACGTCCACTAAATTAACTTTTAAATATTTTTCTATAAATAAGGGAATTATGAAAATACCCCTATAACTTTTCTGATGAGACCCTTCTAAAACCTGGGGGGGAACAATACCTTGAATAGCTATGTTTATTAACATTTTGTAGGAAAAACACATGCATACATGCACATTTTTACTTTAGGGAGACTGGCACTGAGCCAATACAGCAAAGGAGGAAAAAACATACTCACAAAGTACAGTTAACTCCCTGACTAAATGGTGTGAAGGGAAAACTTAATTTGGCAATATTGAAAGGATGTATATTTTGAAACAAAGGCTTCTTTTGGAGCTTGTGTCAAATTAGTTGGCCATGGATTGAACAAGAATAACAGGCAATGTACTTGTATAAAACCCAGCTGCTGTCTCTAATATTTGGTAATGAACTGCTTTTTGTATATGAAGATGACAACACTAACCAACTGGAACTATGGCATGTGCTGTGAGTAGTGTCTCCAGGAGTGAGGTTGGATTATTTCAATCATCCACACTCTCTTGCACATATTTGTGCAAACAAGGTATAGTCTGTAACTCAGTAACAGGGCTAAGCCAACTGGCACATAATGGGTTCACACCCATGACTTTAGTCTATTTAGTCCTGCATTCAGACACACTGAGCTAACGATTTACACACATCTTTGAACATCACAAGTGTGTATAGTCACCAAAAGTCACAAATAATAATTCTGTGTTTTATTCTGCCCTGAGTGTAAGTGTTCCATTGCATATATTTCAGTTCCTATCATATGAACTATTTATGTTGAAATGGACTAGCACATGACTTATTTTTCCAATTATTAAAGACAGTCACTAAGTATAGTGCTGATTTCAGCTTGTCAGCAGTTATAAGACTTCTAGTATTAAAAAAGAACTTGCTAATACTTATAATTCTTTTTTGTTGTTCTTTAAGACAATAAAGAATATGATGCCTATCTTTCGTACACAAAAGTGGATCAAGATACTTTAGACTGTGACAATCCTGAAGAAGAGCAGTTTGCTCTTGAAATACTGCCAGATGTCCTGGAAAAACACTATGGATATAAACTCTTCATTCCAGAAAGGGACCTGATTCCAAGTGGAAGTAAGTACTTTCAAATTTTGTGTTTAAAACATTCACTTTCTTTTAGAAAGTTATATGGATCCTTCAAATGTCAGAGCCAAGTATTTAGAGAGTTATTTCTCATAGATTTTTTAGTTCAAATTTGTCCTCAATGCCTGTATTCTGACTTTAGAGCATCTGAACTTTTTTGAAGGCATTCCCACTTATATTTTAGTTGTGGTTTTTAAATTGTGTCTTAAGGGTAGTTTTTATTATATTGCCTTAGTGTCCTGAGAAAATCATGATCCTTTATTTAAAAAAAACAGTCTGTAAAAGTCAGTTAAAGCCATTTCAATCTGCTTCAGTTCCAAAGCTGGTTTTCTGTCATTGTGCTTCTACTTATATCTACACTTATTGTCTCTAATAACCTTGAATCTTTGCCTTCCACCCTTGTTATCCATTATGCCCTGTCACTCATTCACAGATTTATGAGAAAAATCCACCTAAAAAGGTATATGAGGCCATTGGGTGCAGCATTTTCAGTATGTATTTAAATTATTTCTAAGACACGCCAGATACTGTGAGCATGAATGCCACTTTTCAGTAATGCTACATATTGAAAGCTACATTTGAGATTTCAGAATAAATTCAGTTGCAAGTCAAAATATGTACTTTGTTCTCGCTTAAAATATGTACTTTGTTCGGAATATGTACATGATAAAGTGGAAGAATACAGGGAAGTCTAATATATGGTCCCTGCTCTCACAAAGCTTTAAAAAATGCCCTTGAGGTAAAATGAAAGTATTAAAACTCATTTGCACATGTGTCTGTTAATATCCTTGAGAGGGAAAGATTGAACTGGCAACTACAGTTCAAAATGTGTTGATTTAATCACAAAAAAGCTTATATTTTTCAGTACCTGATAAGATAATTATACATACATTATTTCATTTCATATTTACAATAACTTTGTATGGTGAGAGAGAGAGCAGATATTCATATCCTTGTCTTACAGATAAAGAAACAAAGACTCAATGAAGTCCAAGATCATATGGCTGGCAAATGGTGGAGATGGGAGTAGAACCTAGATCTGTTTGACTCCAGTTCTCATTCTGCTAGATCATGCTGCTCCTCAGTAATGTTTATTCTAATTATGAGCAGTTCACCATGGCCACTAAACAGAAAGAGACAAACGGGAGCAACTGAATTTTAGTCGTTGACCTCTTTTCTTAGAGTGCATGAACATGTCTGTGTGTGTGCATTAGTACATGTGCTTACATGTGCATGGAAAGGACTAAAGTATATATTTACTGATGAATGTTTTCTTGCAAAAGAAAAATCTTTTTGTAATTTTTCCTCTTTTCATGACTTGAAATACCATTTTACAGTTATTGATTTCCCAAGGAATACTTTGATGCCTCAAAATCTGTTTTATTCTTCAGTGTCTTTCTCCCAAACCCAGTGTCCCTTGCATCTTTTCCATTCTCACTTCTACCCTGCTAGTATGGAGCCAAACTCCTACAATGTCATTGATTATCTCTTTACTTTCCTTATTTTTCCTCCCATCCATTGAGCTCCTTTAATACCATGTACACAACCTTGATCATGTCACACCCCTGTTCAACCAACTTTAATTATTCACTATTTCATACAGGATAAAATTCACAGCCCTTAACTAAACACTTTTGCAATGTGTTGCTCAACCAGTTTTTTTCCTCCTAAATTTGTTTTCTGTTATTCCCTTTATTCAAATCTTCCTTCATAGCCCAACTGTGCCTTTGGTATACATTCTGTGTCCCTGTGCATTTTTTCATGTTAGTCTTTTCAAACCCTATTTATCCTTCCCCATTCCACTATTTCTGTGAAAACTCCATAGCAATCTCTCTAGCTCTAGACTATGCAGTATATAATTGGTACTTCAGTGATACTTTGCCTTGTTTTTTTTAACTTTGTGTACTTTTCCATCTATTTATGTCTTATCTAGTCAGCAAGATTATAAGATCCATGAGGATAGGTACTGGATCTCAATTTCTTCACACCTATTGCCATCTAATAGAAGAACAGAAGACTTAAGCTCATTACTGCTTCATAAATGCCTGTTTGTTTGTTTGTTTGTTTGTTTCAACAGTGCTGGTTTAAGAGAAGAGGCACTAATGAGAATGATATAAACAAGGGCTCCCATTTTTGTTAGATGGTATTTGAAAGGCAGAATTCTTTAATAAGGTGAATGTAAGCTAAAGTGGAGCTTTTTTACTGAAAGAAAAATATGGATATTTCATAAGAATAATCCTAAATCTTTAGAACAGGAATGTGTGTGTGTGGAGAGTGTGTTTTAGGTATTAAAAAAGTACGCAGATATTGATCAATCACTGTTGAAAAATAAAAAACGCTCCTACTATTTTTACATAATTTCTTAGATTGCTATACGTTATTTTATGTTTTTACCAAAAACTTCTTGTTAAACATAGAAATTCTGAACAAAATCCATTTTTAAAAGGAGGATATCCTAAATTGTTTTAAGGTCACATATCATTAGCAGAGTGAAATTAATATTATATCTCAAATCAGTAACCTTTCTGCCTTCTTACACTCCACAATTGTTAATACCACAATAGGCACACCTCAACGAGTAACTGAGAAATGTTCATCTTCCTGTCTGAATATTTAACATTAGTGTTCTTCTTCTGAACTGAAAAGAGTTCTTCACAAGTATGCACATTAGAAAAGGAAATAGAGTCCCTGTGTGATGGCTCAGAGGATTGTACTTTGAAACCAGACCAGAAAAAGTTAGTGAGATCCCATATCAACAAAAAGGCTGGGTGCGGTGGTGCATGCCTTTCATCCTAGGTACATGGGAAGCCTAAATAGGATGATTGCAGTCTGGCCAAAAAACATGAGACCCCACCTGAAAAAAGTAACTAAAGCATAAAGGGTTGATGGCATGATTGAAAGGCCTGCTAGAGCATCTGCTTAGCAAGCCCAAGGTACGGAGTTCAAACTCCAGAACTCCCAGGAAAAAAATGTTAAAATAAAGGGAAATGGGGGTCACATGGCACAGAGTTGATCCAATTTACCTGAGATTCAATAGATGACACTTGTTTAATGTAGAATGAAGCAGATACTGTGCATGCCTAAGAGCAAGACTTCATACAAGAAGTATGAGAATAACAAAGATGCATTCCAAAGTTATGTCCTCTTACAGCTCCATTTTGATGACTTGACAGATGAATTGAATCAACTCTATATATCAGTTTAACCAAGCAGATTGTATTAATCAACTGGTTATATAGCTAAATTGACTGAAATCAACTAGTTGCTTTTGTGTACCATAGATAGTGTGAAAGTTCTCCTTGACCATGGGATACAAAGATTGAGCAAATCATAAAACATCCTAGGTCAAAGCTACATTTTTAAAGCATTATAACTTGCTGCATAAGAGATGATAGAAGACAGTTACCTAGGGAATTATTATTATTTAAAATAATTCTATATAAAACCCCCAAGATGATGTCATCAGGATGGATAGAGATTTGATAGATAATAAAGGTCACTTTAATATTTTCAAGATTGTACAATCATTAAACTCAGCACGGACTCCATGTTGGGCACCCAGGGGTGTACAGGAAGGCTTCTTTTATATAAAGCCATTTGGGCTAACTATGTAGTTTTTAGATGCAACCACTGGAGGGTGTTTGATTTTAATTCTTCCTTCCTGAACGAGAAAATTCATGTTCTCTGAATTCCGATTTGCGAGTGTAACCTGCAGAGGTTCTTAAAAAGGCCCTTTGACAATTTTTCTTTTCCATCAACATTTCAGAGCTAGCTGAGCAGTCACCATGTCACGATTAACGAGTTTTTCCTTGGCATTTTTAGCACGCATTCAGGAAGTCAATGAAGTATATGAATAATATACTTGATTTACACATGAATGACAGAGTAGAACATTTTGGACTTGGTGTATGTATGTTATTAAAGAAGTTTCTGTGGTCTGTATTTGCAGCCATTGGTACAGATTTAACAGGTTATGTTATATAAATATAGACACATTCCTGTGGAGGGGAGGACCTAATTGCAATATTATAAGCTGTGTTTGTCCCTCACATCTCATTTAAAATATGTTGACCTAAGACTACTTCTTCCTCCAAAAACTAGCAATGAGATTTTAAAGGACTATAAAAACACACCTCATAAGATTATTCTTGACCTAAAATAACTGTCTATGATTCAAATTAACAAAGTTTGTGCAAAATCCATTTATTATAATATCGTCACTTTTTTCATGTGTCTTCAGTTTCTTTTGTGTGAGTGACATGGTGTGGTAACTCAATCTTTCAACACACAAATCTTTGCAATGCACACACTTTCAAAAGTATATGAAAATATCTCTCTCTCTCTCTCTCTCTCTCTCTCTCTCTCTCTCTCTCTCCCTCCATCTCTCTCCCTCTAACTCCCCAGCCCCACAAAAGTTCTCAGAAAGTTTAGATACAAAGATGTCACATTCTGAGATGAATTGGAATTGTATGTACCTTTCCTACATGTCCTTCTGGGGAAATGTTGTTCTTTGGCTTTTATGAACTAGAGGAGATGAGGAGATTTGACACAAAGATTTTTCCTAAATTCTAAAGCTTAGTCTTCAGATCTGGACATTATTTTCCTGGCAGAGACTATCTTTTCATTCTTGAGCCTGTGGCCAGGATCTTCCTTATGTTTTCTCAGGTTGGGTGCCTAAATGTGGCAAGAATTCCTACTTTCCAGTAAAAGTTTGGTCTGTTTCTTCCCAGACTAGAAACATCTGTCCCTGAGAACAGTAAAAGCAACTGCGTTGCCAACAGGCATCTGAATGTCAGAAGTGACAGGCAACCAAAAGAAAGCCAGATAGAAAACACTCTACTCAAACTGCCTAGAGACACAAACTTGAGAAGTAAAGATTTTCTCACCCTTGCAGCTGCTGGGTTTTGTGGTGTAAAGTACTCTACACAGAGCACATTGTGTTCATGGGGCCTAGTGGATCCTTGAGGAATGAACAGATGTGCTCTGAAACT